GAACATGGAAGTTTTATCGACATGGCTCAACGCTCATACATACAGGACCTTTTATCGCCCTGTACCGATAGAGGAGCACCTTGTCTATGAAGGGAAGATCTACCTAGCATCGAGCACAAGAAACATGCTGAAAACCGCCAATCCATTACGACAGAACCCCAGCAGTGCCCTCGAGCTAGACAGTGAACCAGTAAGAATAATCAACACAAGTCAGCACAAAGAATTCCAAGACGCGGTACTGAATGCTGTCGTTGCACTGACGAATGAAACGGCAAGATCTGGCTACGGCGTTCTCGTTTTCTGTAGTAGCCGCTCAGGATGCGAATCAGACGCTCGTCTTATAAGCAAGGTATTGCCCCAAGCCAACGAGCTGGACTCTACTATTCTTGAGAAGCGGTCAGATCTTCTAGGAGATCTCCGTAGTCTGTCAACTGGTCTAGATCCTATCTTGGCTGAGACCATTATGAGTGGTGTTGCTTTCCACCATGCAGGGATGACAACCGAGGAGCGCGATTTGATCTCCACCGCATATGATGACGGAGCGCTGAAGGTTGTGGTAGCGACATGCAGTCTTGCTGCTGGAATAAATCTTCCCGCTCGGAGAGTCATCCTCCATAACGCACGAATGGGTCGTGACTTAATAGGGCCCTCGATGCTGCGTCAAATGCGTGGACGCGCAGGGAGGAAGGGCAAAGACGAGATAGGCGAGACCTATCTCTGCTGTCGCAAATCTGACTTAGAAGACGTGGTCGAGTTGATGAATGCAGACCTACCACATATTTCAAGCGGTTTGACAACCGACAAACACAGGATTCAACGAGCATTACTGGAAGTTGTGTCCGTACGGCTGGCCAACTCGCGAGAGTCTATCAATGATTATATTCAGAAAACGCTTCTAAACCTCTCTGGCGCATCAGACCAGATTCAGGATCACGTCACATCTAGTCTGGAGGATCTTCTGGAAATGGGATTTATTCAACGTGACAGCTTTGATTCTTATTTCGCGACACAATTAGGAAAGGCAGTTGTTGCATCATCTCTTGAGCCCGCTGATGGTGCGTTCGTTCACCGCGAAATGCAGCGAGCATTGCAGGCTTTCGTAATGGACGGCGAAATGCATATCCTTTACACTTTCACGCCTGTCCAGGAGCTATCCGTATCTGTTAATTGGCAAGTCTTTAGATCCGAGATGGAAGCACTTGACAAAAGCGGGTTCCGGGTCATGACGCTTCTTGGGTTGAAACCCACGGTGGTTAACAGAATGTATGTGGAGTCCTCCTTCTTTGCCAGCGTCGACTCATTAACGTATATCATAGGGCACAAGGTGGAAGTCTCAAAGAGTCGACGCCTACGGAAAAAGAAATAGCTCGTATTTACCGAAGGTTCTACCTTGCTCTACAGCTGAGGGATCTATGTAACGAAATGCCTGTACATGTGGTAGCTCGCAAGTATGATATGCCAAGAGGTACTGTTCAGACTCTAGAGCAGACATGCCAGGGATTTGCGGCAGGAATGATAAGATTCTGCGAGCAAATGGGTTGGGGGTAAGTTCCGAGCAATATTAATCAACTCAAAAATGACTTCAAGTTGCTAATCTCTATCAGCGCTATGGCAGCTATATTGGATCATTTTTCGGATCGCCTCAGAGCCGGAGCCAAGGCAGATCTTTTGGCCCTCGCCAAAATCACCTTCATCAAGAGTCGGACCGCTCGGGTGTTTTACGATAACGGATTCAAGACTGTCGCATCCCTAGCAAATGCAGACCCAAAGGAGCTTGTGCCTATCCTCATGCAGGTTCGTTTAGTATACCTGATCGCGGAGATGAACTAAGTATGGTCACAGGCGCAACCAACAAAGTTACGAGTCAAGTCTAAAGACGAACAAAAGTATGAGGAAAAACTACTTGCCAAAGCCCAAGTCATAACGGATTCGGCCAACCGCCTTTGGCGTAAGTATATGTATACTTTGTGGAAGTCAGGGTCTAACAGTTTTTTTCAGAAGCCGAAATGCAGCAAGACCTTGACTTGGAATGAACTATTGAGCAAGACGCACCGCACCACCTCTTACCATGGCGCGCCTCGATTTTGCTACTACAGGCGCAATACGAACATCGAGACATCAATCAAGTCGCGACATGTGGCGCATATGCTTCCAGGGGAGCTATCCAGAAGAGTAAAAGGAGCGACAAGTTGTACGAGCCAACGCCTATTATGAACTAAAGTCGTTACGAACGGGTAATGCCGGTCTTTGGGTATAACGTTAAGAGGTAGGAATATCCTATGATAAAGGAGTTATGGAAAATGCTAGACTCGGGGAAAGGGACATTGTAGACCGAGCAAAAAGTCATACCGACTATCCGCTTGGCTTGGTTCTCCAAATTCTCCATTGCCCCAGGTTGAACGAAATCGTGCATAGCGAACCCACCGGGTAAAGGGTAGATAGATGGGGCAACACTTTACAGGGATATAAATAGAAGCGATACTCTAGACTTCACGAGGAAGAATTGACTATCTAGTTTCCTGAATGTGATTATGTTCTCACTCATAGGTGCAATATGTATTATCCTTCTCGTAAGAGTTGGCGACTCGCAGGTCCTTACGGCGGCCCTCGATTATGGGACATTCCAAGGAGCCTATGACCCTGGTTACAACATTTCATATTGGCAGAAGATTCCGTATGCTGCGCCGCCCGTAGATCAGAACAGGTAAATATATCGAAAATCCCATTTAGATATCTGTTTTGAATTATCGATGATAGCTGTAAGATTGCTCATGCTCACTCCTATGTAGGTTCCGGGCCCCTCAGCCCCCCCTGCCAATTACTCGCGGTGTTTACGACTCGTCCCAGACATTTGACATGTGCCCGCAGCGGACCGTCAATGGCTCAGAAGACTGCCTCTATCTCGGACTATACGGGCGGCCTTGGATGCAGGACGCGCCACTACGACCAGTCGTCGTGACTTTCTACGGTGGTGGTTTCATTCAGGGGTCAGCTTCGTTCACCCTTCCACCATCCGCCTATCCCATTCTCAATGTTTCTGATGCGAGCAATATGATCTTCGTATATCCGAACTACCGCGTGAACGCGTTCGGATTCCTCCCGGGCAAAGAAGTTGCGGAGGACCCGTTCTCGGACGCTAATGCCGGGTTGTTGGACCAAGCGATGGCATTGCGCTGGACCAGCAAGTACATCCGCCATTTTGGAGGCGATCCCGATAGAATTACCATATGGGGCCAGTCCGCGGGTGGTGGCAGCGTGCTAGCGCAGACAATTGCGAGCCACGAGAGTAATGGCAAGGGCAGAAGGGGCAGAAGGGGCAGTGAGGTAAATAAGCTGCCGTTTCGACAAGCTCTTGCTTCGAGTCCGTTTTGGCCTAAGACATATCGCGTTGACGCGCCTGAAGCTCAGTGGCGATATGATACCCTTGCGAACCTGACGGGTTGCGCTGGGCCGGAGAGCCTGAAGTGTCTCAAGAGCGTGGGCGTGCAGAAGATCCGCGACGCGAACCTGGCCATTGTCGATAGTCATAAGTATACCACGTCGACATTTGAATGGGGCCCTGTGATCGATGGTGTTTTCCTGCGAGAGCCCCTTTCCGCTGCGACGGCACGTCGAAACGGGAGTGTCGTTGTTGCTGGATATGGGATGTATAACACCCATGAGGGCGAGAATTTCGTCCCGTCGGGACTGAAGAGCGCCTCAGATACGGGCACACCACCGTTCAACACGTCCGCGGCTTCTTTCGATCAATGGGTATCGGGCTATCTTCCGACACTCTCACAATCTCAGCTCGATAAGTTGAAGGAACTATACCCCGAGGCGGGGAGTGCAGAAAACATCGCGGCCTACAACGACACTTTCACCAGGGCTGGGCTGATTTATAGGGACTCGACGCTTGCATGCCCTGCTTACTGGATGGCGGGTAGTGCGACGGACGGTGGTTGGATCGGAGAGTACACGATCTCTCCAGCACAGCATGCCTCCGACGTTTACTGGGTATGTGCAATGAATGCGTCTTTTGCGTTCCGCCATTAGTATCGTTTGCTAACGAGAGATCATGACTAGTGGAACACCGTCAATGCGGCCCAACGGCAAGATCCTCTACATTACAAAGGCTACGCAGGTTTGTAATACCCACTCTGTACATCCTTCCTTGCTTCACTAAGATAGAGCTATCTATAATTAAGCTACTAAGTCTCGTCTAAACAGGGGCACTGGCATCGTTCTTCATGACTGGTGATCCCAACGCTCTGAAACTCACAGGAACTGATGTTTCCGGATTGCCGGGCTTGAAGACTGGGCAGGAATGGGTCATCGATAGCGCTGGATTCGCGAGTGTTGAACTAGTCCAGCTCAAGGAGAGGTGCGCGTTCTGGGAAGAGGTCGCACCAGAAGCCCCAATATAGCAAGAACCGCAGTGACGCATCCCAGAGGACTCGTCATGGGAAAAAAGAGATTGATGGACGGATGGAAAAACATGTGATGAAAATTAAACTCATGTTGAAACTATACGCAACGGAAGAAGAGAATCGGGATCGAGACTAGCCTTAGGCATTTTCCTTCGGACCATCCCTTGAAGTTGTCACGAATCTAAAGCAGGCAGGCAGACAGTCTATGAGGTGTTGAATAGCCGGCAAGATGTCTAGTTCCATCAACCAATCTAAGAGTGATGCTGATATGAGGCACATGGTAATAGTGTCTAAAGCCTTATTAATCCCAAACCCTTTAATTCCTGCTAACTTAGTCCGTATTAACTTCTTGTTATTTCTGAATATTGAAGTACGGAAGGAAATGAAATATTTCAAGGGATCTAAGGGGTCGAATACACTACCACAGCCACGAGTCCGTACAGATCGACTACACCACTTGCCACTACTTATTGCTACAAATATTACCACGAAGGCCACGGGCCGTTCATCATGGGCGTCAGCCAAAGTTTGCTCGCTTGGGCTATATAGGGGGTCTGACCATCCAAAATCAACATCCAATTAACAAAAAATGACTTTGTGGCCTAGTGGTTAGGGCGTCTGTCTTACATAAAAAAAACAACTTTATGGATCACAGAAGATCCCCGGTTCAATCCCGGGCGGAGTCATTTTTAATTTGCCAGGATCAACAGTTTGTGTCTTAGTTGAGGCGTTTCTGTGGTCGTTATAGAATAAGGGGCATTCAATCCTGGGTGGAATCAGTATTGTTTTGTTAGTATCGACAGCCTATGTCAGTTGAAGTGCTTGTGTGATCCTTATAGAATAAGGGTCATTATCTCTTGTGAGGCATTGGTAACTAATTTTGTTTTCTTTTAATCTGATATTATCAACCCGCATTCTATACATCGATCAAGACTAGCTTGTTCAGTTCGGGTGCAATCCTATTTTAGTAGGACGGCAATGAGTCACGTACCGGTTCAAGGTTGGCACTACGGCCCCGCTTACACACTCGGCGTCCGGAAAGGACTTTGCTAGAACCGGGACAGCAGAGGGAAATGTCCCTTTTAGTCTCGCCGATGTTTATTTCGCCGATAGATAGGGCCCCATGTGGAGTCCAGCGCCCATGGTTTTGGTCCGGTTGAGTGAGAGTCGGTTGGGGGTTCAGTAACAAGCATCAAAATCTGATACGCTGATGAGGTATCACATACGAGCGGCGCATGTAGCTCGATATCTTCTATATATAGACAGAATATTCCCTCAACTTTCTCGGCCTTCTCAACCTGCACTCTACATTTCCACTATTAGACTTGTCGCTCGGATACTGTCACTCTGTCCAATTCTACTTCACGATATACTCATTATCAGTATATTCCATCATTTTCAGAATCAGCGCCATGGCTGAAGTTCACGGAAGCTGCACCCCACAGTTCGAAAAAGTTCGTTCTCTTCTCCAGCAGTTCGTCGACTCAGGAGAAGAGACCGGCGCCTCTATAGCCGTCAACGTCGATGGTAAAGATGTCGTCAACATCTGGGGCGGTTACGCGAACCCGGAAACTAAGCAACCTTGGGCTGAGGATACAGTTGTCGGCGTAGCCTCAAGCACAAAGATGTTCAGTAGCCTCGCTGTGCTCATGCTCGTCGATAGCGGCGTCATTTCCGTCTACGATAAAGTGTCCAAATACTGGCCCGAGTTCGCCGCCAATGGGAAAGAGAATGTCGAGATTCGTCATCTGCTGTCGCACACTTCCGGCGTCGCCGGTTGGGATTCTAAAGTCACTATGGATGAGATATGTGACCCTGTCACGTCCTCTGCAAAGCTAGCCCCCCAAGCACCGTGGTGGGAACCTGGCACAGCGTCGGCCTACCATGCTTATAGCTACGGCCATCTGCTGAGCGAAGTTGTACGTCGTGTGACAGGAATGGGTCTGAAGCAGTTCATCGCGGAGAAGATTGCAACGCCCTTGGGTGCTGATTTTCAAATCGGCATCTTGGAGAAAGATGTGCCTCGTGTTGCTAAGGCAACACCTCCGTCGGGAGCAAACCCAGACTTTAAGCCTGGCCCTCTCTTTATGAAAGCGATCGCAAATCCCATGATGCCCCCCGACGTAGGGAGACGCCCTGCATGGATGCAAGGAGAAATCGGTGCTTCTAATGGTTATAGTAACGCCCACGCGATGAACCAAATACTGTCTACCATCACGCTCGCGGGTCGTGAGGGTGACGGCGAGCGCAAGCAACTGCTGTCCAAGCCGACTGTGGACTTGATCTTTGAGGAACAATCTAATGGAAAGGACCTCGCTATCGGATCGCCTATTCGTTTCGGCATCGGATATGCCATTAAAGGCGATGGGGACTGGGTCGATGATTGGATGCCTGCGGGCGACATTGCTTATTGGGGTGGCTCGGGCGGTTCTCTTGGTATCATGGATGTCGGTCGCAAAGTCACTATTACGTATGCTATGAACAAGAGATCGGCCTCAGTGATCGGAAATACGGCATCCAAAGCATATATAGGGGCAATTTACGAGGCACTGGGAGTTAAGATTCAATGATTAGATATGGAGCCGAGCTAATCAGGTGTCAACAGTGGGCTGTATATTCTCTTTGACGTCAGAGTATTTATTAGGTAGAATAAGCATGAGAATTACAATTCACATGCCCTCGTACGTTAATGCATATCATTTCGGTATCTCATAACACCACGACAGCAACAGCATGTTATAAATCATAAGATGAGAGCATCAGTTAACTCATATCCCACACTACCAGTAATCAGTAGTCGAACCCCAGGAACTCAATTTAATATAGTGCGGATTGGCTGGCATACCACACACAGGCGTTGGCCTCACGGCGTTGGAGCAAAAGCAGCAACATACTGGAACAATCAGGGTCAGCTATCGCAGACGAAAACGGTATCGGGAATTACTCACGCAAGCGGCTTGACAGGTGCCGAACGCCGAGTTGCAGGCGATGATGGTTGCTGGAGCCGAGACACCGGCTGTCGCTCCCCAAGTAAACCCCGCCGCTGCATAACATGCTGTCACGACGGCAGCACAGCCGGCCTGACAGATACCATATGCGGCTGGGCCAGCACTCACTATGGGCGTGGATGCGAGCAATGAGGTGACGAGAGCTGTTGTGGCCTTCATATTGGACTTATGAGGAGTGCGCCGCGATGATATTGATGTTGATTATAAGGTGTTCTTGTTGCAGGTAGGTAGTCCGTAGATCTAGTAGTCATACGGGAATAGGATAGGCGGGGGTCGTGTTTATATACTTGTACACCATTGCATAAGCGAGAACGCAGTGGAATATATCAAAGACCGGAGTTATTGGCCCAGATGTTTCCTGGAGACGTATTGACGCACGAAGACGCGACAATGGTCAAGAAACCTATAGAACTTCCGGACTTATCTGCTACCCTGTATTCATATAATGGCTGTAACCCCTCGATAGGTTGCGAACCGGGCTGCGGGAGGGGTAGATAACTCAAGGCACATGACGTGGATCTTATTTACGACTTCCAATTCGTGATGCTTACAGCAAACCATGGTTCTAGAATATCGAGCAATTAGCTAGTGTCGTGATTGGTGGCTTTGGATTACTGGCTGAGTGAGAAGTCATTTTTGGAGCAACAGTCTGAAGTAACTATGCGTTCCAACCTTATCTCCCCGCACGAGGCTGCCGGCTCTCTGTGAGCTAGAAAATAAGTCTACTCGCTTATGATTATATCTAGGAACCTAATTAAGTGTAGTATGATCTTTTTTCTAATTAGAGTTGCTATATAGGGTACTTCGTCGTCTTGATAGCTTTTCGTGCAACTTCAGACCTCAGAACAGCACCAAAGAATCGATCCAACACTATTCTACTACCAAACGTTGACTGTGGTTAAGTCGGACGTTTAGCGTGTCTGCATTTATGTTCTATGTACCGTGAAACTAGTAGGAAGATGTTAGCGCCTCTCTGGATCGAGAAGCAGTACTGGGAGCAATTAAGCTATACTGATTGGTTACATTCTAGTATAATAGCAAAGTATGCCGAAAGGAGATCTTATACACTTCTGAGTTCCTTCAAGAAGGAATCTGCTAGAGAGAAAGAAAGAGTCTTAGAGTTGGTTTCTAGAATCATCGCCTTCTTGGCATCAACAGACTTTTACTATGTCTGACTGACTATTGCTGTAGCCAGTGCTGAACATATTGGCGATCTGCACTGCAGACTAAATCATCTATTCTGCCTTAGGATAGTTCGAAAAAGTAAATATACCAAGAAAGACATCATGAAAAGAGTTAAACTTGGAATTATTGCGACAAGTGACCCCGGTGATTAGATCTACACCCCACGTGTGAGTGGATACGGGAATCTCGGATGGTAAGAGATCCTAGTGCGAACCAATGAGAATAATTCTTTGTTTGCTTAGGGCTGAAGGTGCATGCATAGCGGACTTAGTGTTGCAGACCTCAATTAAGCTTAGTGTAGAGGTATAAAATGAGGTACGAAGCTAAATATGGCCTGTGCTTAAGCATGCAGCTTGAGGGTTTCGATCTCCGAGAGGATTGTGTTGGGTGAGATAGATCCTTAGATGACTAGGTATGTCTTTGATCATTGATTATTGCGTACATCTTACTAGATTAGGTAAGTAGAATTTCAAATTCATAGCTGTTGGTAAACAATGTGAACACCTTACCCAAGTAATTTTTTCTAAGATGAAGCGCGTTTGATATTAAGGTTAATGCACATCATATACCTTAGTAAGTACGTCATGCGTTAGGCACCGTTTGTAGATAACATGTTGACAGGTAACAATGAAACTCTAGCGTAGACTAATAATAGAATAGCGTTCAATACCGTAGTTTTGCCGTACAATAGGTGCTTGCATAACGGCTGATTTCCAACGCATCGCCACAAAGGGTCCTACGCGGCCCGAGAGAGAGCAGAGCCCCACAATCCCGTCATCATCCGTCCGCATGTCGTCCTTATCTGTACTTGCGTTGAGTTGAAATGCAACAACACCTTCTTGGGCTATCCTAAAGCCGATTCCGAAAGGCAGCATGGCCAGGTGAACACTAGACATCCAACAATAATTCGAATTGACGGGTCGGTGTTGAAGCCGGAACTCCCGATTTCACAGACCAGATAGATAGGCACCCAGCAACTTTGGCCGGCAAAAACAAGCTCAGCTTGTACACATGCTATTGCAGACATCGCACCAACAACGCAACAGCGACATCCAAGGCCATCTTCTTCTATCTAGGCCGCAATCTGACCGCCGTCTGACCTAATCCGGGAACCTACGATCCTCTGCGGCCCCGTCGAGATACTTCCCGAGCATGCCGTTCGACTACGCCTCTACAGCGCAGGCGCTGGCCCTCTCTCCCTCGCCGTCTCCGGATCCCGAGCCGACATCACCAAACCACTCTCCCCACAACGAGCGACTGCCCGCATGGGCTCGTCCAGCATCGAGCCGCGGCCCCGATGGCGGCGATGATCTGTTCCGGGGTCCACGTATGCAGGGCATACGACGATTGTCGACACCCTACTCTCGGGGCGGTGATGGCGCCGAGCAGCGGCCACTGGGCCAACGCATAATGCAAGGCAGCGTCTCAGTCATGAACAAGCTACTAAAGCTCGGCTACAGCATGACGCCCCTACAGCGCGTGCTAGCCGGCGT